CCCTAAACCCTAAAACCCTAAACCCTAAACCCTAAACTCCTAAATCCTAAGCCCTAAAACCTAAACCCTAAACCCTAACACCCTAAACCCTGAAACCTAAACCCTAAACCCTAAACTCCTAAATCCTAAGCCCTAAAACCTAAACCCTAAACCCTAACACCCTAAACCCTGAAACCTAAACCCTAAACCCTAAACTCCTAAATCCTAAGCCCTAAACCCTAAACCCTAAACCCTAAAACCCTAAACCCTAAACCCTAAACCCTAAACTCCCAAACCGGGAAGAGCCTCGCGAGCCCCAAATTTCCGAGGCGAACCTCAAGACGTCTCTGAAGAAGATGCAGCGAACGCTGATCGTCATAGGACTGCCGGTACGGTTTAGGGTTTAGGGTTTAGGGTTTAGGGTTTAGGGTTTAGGGTTTAGGGGTTCGCTGATCGTCATAGGACTGCCGGTTTAGGCTTTACTAGGGTTTATTACCTTAGTTCGCCAATAGGAGAACTTTAAACTTTTTGGCCTTATATCTTTGGTCTATCCTAAAAAGTTTGAACTTTTTTGGGCCTGGTTGTTGAAGAAGAGAGTTACGGTTCATCAGGGTTTAGGGTTTAGGGTTCAGGATTTGACTGACTTGCTTCTCCAAGTTTGGGGGTTTAGGGGTTTAGGTCTGGGTTTAGCAGTTGTTTAGGGTTTAGGGTTTAGGGGTTAGGGTTTAGGGAACCTAATACCCCTTAATTAAGGAATAGGCCTTAGATCATAATATTAAGGCCGCTATAATTACAGGTATTTTCCTTAATTAAGGTGGGTTGCTTATACAAGTTTGGGGGTCTAGGGGTTAGGGGTTAGGGTTTTAGGGGTTTGGGCTTTAGGGTTTAAGGTTTAACTTGCTTCTACTCATGGGCTCAAGGGGCTTAGCAATTAGGGTCGTAATTTGGAATATAAGTGCCTTAAGTAGGGTTTTCCTATGCTATTTTAATTTTAACCGTGCTTCTAACTAGTCCTACCTGGACCCCACAACTATGTAGAGCAATCGCCTCTTGCTTACTTCTTGGGGTTTAGGTAGGGCTTAACCCCTTCACTCTAAAACCCGGAACCCCAAACCCAGCAATCCCAATCCCTAGGTTTTGAATCCGGAATCTGAAATCCCGAAACCCGAAGCACTTAGTTTAGGGTTTGGGTTTAGGGTTTAGGTTTTGGGGTTTAGGGTTAAGGGTTTAGAGTTTAGGGGTTCCGGTTTTAGGGCTTAGGGGTTCGGGTTTAGGGTTTAGGGGTTCGGGTTTAGGGTTTAGGGTTTAGGAGTTTTGGGCTTAGGGGTTTTGGGTTGCCCTCCACGCAGGGGGGTCCTTGTAATAGCGTCGTACTGGTACTGCTCATGTACCCTATTAAGCCTTATAAGGCGCAAGACAAGCCTCAAAAAGTATGGTCCTTCGTCGCAAACTACCTTAGAATGTGAGTCTTAGAGCGTTAGGGTAAGGGTTTAAGATTCAGGATCTGACGAAAGCGCCCTAAACCGTACACCCGGAACGTAAAGTATGAGCCCTTAGGGCCCATGTTAATCGGTTCCTTAGCTCTGAAGCTCACATACTGTATCAACTGGGGTTTAGGTTTGACGGTTCGGGTTTACGGATTTAAGGGTTTAGGGCTAGGTGGTTTACGGGATAAAGATTGTCGGATCTGAGGTTTCTTGGCTTAGCTGGTTCGGTAAATAGGGGTTTAGGGTTTAGGTTTTTGGGGTTTGGGGTTTAGGGTTTAGGGTTTAGGGCTCAGGGTTTAGGGTTTAGGTTTTGGGGTTTAGGGTTTAGGGTCAGGGGCCCAACTTCAACACGTAAGGTAACGCCGATGCGTTACGGTTCGTGTCTACTGGATGGGGACCAGCTCTAGCTAGAGAGCCCAACACACCTTAATGGAATATACCTTAAGTCATAGGGGCCTTAGTATTATATTCCTTAAGCAAGGTGTATTGGGTTCTCTGCGCAGCTATGGACCATTCCGGGGGTGGAAGGAATAGGTCGGTTCCGAGTTTAGGGTTCGAGCTTCGGGAGCCCTAAACCCTAAACCCTAAACCCTACACCCTATAAACCCTATAAGCCCTATAAGCCCTATAAGCCCTAAACCCTAAACCCTAAACCCTAAAACCCTATATCCCTAAAGCCTAAACCCTCTCGAAGCCGAAGCCGAGATTATTGCCAAGGCTAATTATCCCGTCGGGTTCCTTGGTGCAGTTATCCTAGAAGGATTGCCCTAACACCCTATTCCTGAGTGCTCCGGCCCCTGACGTACTTAAGCGGATAAGGGGACTCAGTCTAGCGTTTAGGGTCTAGGGTTTAGGGTTTAAAGGGTTACTTAAACGGATCAGGGCACTTGGTATACGTCGTATATACGCATGTGCTGCGCACTTACTAAGTAGGTCGCAATTGGCTGATAGTTGGTATAAAACCTAAACCCTAACCCTTAACCCTGATAGTTGTTATCGGCCGATCCCTGTGGCGGTACCGAAATTTTCTCGTATACCCGACTTACCTAGACAGTTGAGCCTGCGTGCAACTCCAAACAGCAAAGAATTGAGAGTCCAGGCAACTCAATTTTACCATTAGTTTAGTGTTTGCATGTGGCTCCAGCTAGTTTGCAGAGATTTACCTTAATTTCTAGTCAAGTGAGCAGAAACTAGTATTTTGTAGGGTTTGGGGCTACAGGGAGGATCTGCGATAAGGGTTCAGATTAGCTACTTGAAATAAGCCGGGCTATACTTGGGTCTAAAACCCTAAAAAGAAAGGGGCCTTAATAATTTCCTATATTTGGGGGGTTCCTTATTATGATTAATAGTATAATATACCCCAAAGCCCTATTCTCTAAACCCTAAACCCTAAACCCTAAACCCAACGTTGTTAAGGCCCCTACATGAGACCCCTTAGACTCCAGGCCCTGGACTTGTCTGGGGCTTAAACCATAAACCTCCCTGAACCCTAAACCCTAAGCCCTAAACCCTGAACCCTAAACCCTAAACCCTAAACCCTAAACCCCAAACCCTAAACCCTAAACCCTAAACCCTAAACAAACCACAAACCAGACCCATGAATCCAGGAAGCTATGCAAGGGGTGTTTGGTGTTTGGGATTAGGGTTTCCTGAGTTTAGGGTTTAGGGTTTCCTGGGTTTGGGTCGTGCGGTTTCAAGCGCTAGGATGCAGGGCGAATCTTCCACTGTTCGTATAGGGGCCTTAATAATCAGAATAGGGTTTTGGGGTTCCTGTAAAGGGTTCTTTAATGGGTTCTATAAGGGCTACTATTAAGGGTTTAGGGTTTAGAATCGGGATTTGGGGCCCCTTATACTGTCATTATAATGAGGAACCACCAGAATAGCATTGGTAATTACTTCGGCCCCTACATTATTCTTGCCCATAAAAATTCTCATGATAAACCCTAAATGCCAGAACAAGTGTTGCACTGCACACTGGGGAGCAGACCCCGCTTCTACCGAAGCCTAACTAAACAACTTCCAACACTATTTTGGGGTTCCATTTCATAGTCATAGCGTCATCGTATTTTCTGCCCCAAAGCCTTACTCTAATCATTCAGCCATCCCCGAAGGCCAGGCAGCACATCTGAATTGGCCTGCAAGACCAGAGACACTGAGAAAACACATGTGTCTGACTAAAGGGTCTGCAGTGAACCTCCGTAGTGCCATGGACAGGAAACAAGGTTGGAAGGTCGTTTCCACACACAGAAAGGATGTCCGAAGTCCCGCCGCCGATGATCATCAGCACGGCGACGCCACTAACGCCGCAGCAGCAGCTGCAGCTGCAGCAGCTAGCGCTACCGATCATCGCTGAGTCACATTCTCCTGCGCGAAGGCTGCTGCCAGAGAAAGTTTTGACAGAGCAAGCGCAGGGCTGAGCATGCCGCTGATCTGCTCCATTACGTACCAGAGAACCTGTTCAAATTTGCGGCCAGCCGCAACTCTAAGCGCCCCGCATTCTAAGAGGCTTTCACCCAAACCTTCAACACTGAATACATGCCCTGCAGTCGAAGCGGCTCATACCGAATCCTCAGCCCTAAAACCCTTATGCCGGACAATTACAGAGGTTGGACCCAAGCCCAAACCCTCAACCCGACTTCGGGGGTGTCGGGTTTGGGGTTATAAGGGCCCGAACAGTTCGTCAAGACTGTTCATCCTGGGAAGCCGCCCTAAACCCTAAAGCCCTGCAGAAGGTCAGGGCTAGGAGTTCTGCGTTCAGGACTTTGGGAATGGAGCCGTTAGTCTCTAAACTCGAAATCCTAAGGCCCAGACCCTACACACCAAACTTAGGGGTTTAAGGCTTAGGGCCCGAGACCGTAAACCCAAAGCCGTGTCCAGGACCTTCCATCATGGGTGGCGCGGTGACCACCATCGCCGGAACTGCCTTCCTGCTCCCGTGCAGGATGATTCTCTTCCAGAAGTTAGGCTGGACCAGGTTGAGGGTCAAGGGTTACCATGTTCTTGTGTGGAAGCTTGCTAAAAAGGACTTAATAATTACCTGTACTATTTTCGGTGTTGGTTTTTAAAAAGGAAAGTTTTTGTGTTGTGGATCCCAGAGCCTTATTATGATTATTGAGGCAGTAAGGCCCCTACAGTAATAATAGGAAGGCATGGTAAATAGCAGGTTTTTGCTGTCGGGCCAACCAAGGTAAGGGTTCAGGGTTCCTGATCTTGCTGTAAGGCCGAAGTGGCAAAGCCCGAAATGCTGCATAGATCCGAAATCCGAAACTGCGAGCAAGAAGCCCAAACGTAAAACCATACACCCTGCACGAAAACCTTTAAAAACCCTAAACCCTACGTCCTAAACCGCAAACTCACATGTAAATCCAAAGCACCGCTTTTGCCAACTCCAATCAGGGTTTAGGGTTGAAGCCCGCAAACAGAGGGGCCCCAGCTTTAAGAACCTACCCCCCCTTTTTAAACCCTAAGCCTTCAGCCACAGCCCAGCGTATTAAAAGATCGCCAAGCAGAACCTGAAATCCTGTACCCCGAACCCTAAGCCAAAGCACTGCACATTCAAGGAAGCAGAAAAGCTGACCCTGAACAGCAGGTTGGACGCTCTTCGCCAACTCTATCGTCTCCGTCTTCTTCACCTTTACCTTCTTGACACCCCTGTTCATCATCCTCGGGCCAACAGGCTAGGGCTGATTTTTTTTTACGGGTTTTTGGGGGTTTAGGGTCAAGGCTTGGCGGGTTTAGAGGCAATAAGGGTTTATGGCGGTTTAGTTAGGGTTTCGTTTAGGGTTTAGGGTGTGGGGGTTAGGGGCTTGAGGGTTCACTTTTCGGGCTTATAGTTAACTTGCAGGGTTTAGGGTTCAGGCAGATGGTGCAGGTGCGCATGGGCTCAACCCAGGTCTTAATACTGACCCATAGGCAGCTCGTGAAGGTTATTTCGTCTGGCCTTCCCTAAATTCCAAACCCTGAACCCTAAACCCTAAACCCGCTATGTTTCTGTTGAAGGCGGCTTACGGTCTAGGGGTCTACCACCCTTTCACGGAGCCCGTATGGTCCTTAAAGGTGGGTATTCAGGGTATGTTAGAGGGTAGTTGGGGGGTCTTTGTACGTTGTGGGGTTTAGTTTGGAGGTTTAGGATTTAGGGGAATCGACATCGTTTCAGCCTCCCCATCGTACGCTAGACCCCATAACCTACCTTTCTAAGGATTTATATGAGGAAAATTTCAAAAAGATCCCTAAAACGAGAGGTTCCAAAGGGTCCAAGTTATGGTACATACCCTCCTCCTCCTCCTCCTTCCCTTCTCTCCCTGCCCAGGGATGACACACTTGTATTTTTGAACCAGCCAACCAATGAACCTAAACCCTTCACCCATGGTATGTACTTCTGGGTACATCTTGTAGTTGGGCCCTAAACCCTAAACCCTAAACCCTAAACCCTAAACCCTAAACCCTAAACCCTAAACCCTAAACCCTAAACCCTAAACCCCAAGCCCTAAACACAAAACCCTAAACCTCTCCGAGTCCCGGAGGTGGAGTGAAGCCCAGACTTTGAAAACCCCCGACCCTGAACCCAGATCTGCTATAGACCCTACTCCAGGGGCCTGCATATAAATACCTATATTATTTTGGTGGTTCCTTATTGGAATGATAGTATAAAGAACCCCAAAAGCCCTATTCTAATTTTTAAGGCCCCTGTAGCACTTACAGCCTCCATTGCAGGTCTTTTTTGGGGTTACTTCTTAGAATCATTAAAAGCACTACCTGTACCCCTAAGAGTAGGCAAAATAACGGCACCCAAAACCTCTAAAAGGCTATTATTCTACATACCTTTGGGGTCCAGGTAAGATAGACCCTAAATTCGCTAAAGCCTAAAACTAAGACTTATCCTTGAGCCCGAAAGACGGTTTAGGGCTTACTTGGAGGATCATGGGACTTAGTTAGTAAGGTCATAGCTGCCGTAATTGGGGTTATAATCACTTATAAGTATAGTTACCTTATTAAGAGCCACTTTCCCTAAACCCTAAACCCTAAGCCCTGGTTACTAAGTCTCATGATCCTCCAAGTAGGGCCAAGGGTTGCCGTCCGGACAGTCCTTGCCGCTGTCAGGGACGACCGGCACGCTGTTCTGCTTCCCTTGCTTGAGGCGCACGGCTTCGGGTTTAGGGTTTTGGGTTTGGGTTTAGGGTTTAGGGCGCACGCCTGTGTTCGTGAAGGTATAGCTGGGACTCTAAGTACCTACAGTTTTGTGGGTTCTACCAACTATGGGGTAATGGCTGCTAAACTGTAGGTAAAGAGAGCTACAGGTAGGGGGTTTGGTTGTTGTTTTGGGTGCGCGGTGAGGTTCCGATAAGCCAGTGTACCTGCAGAACCCTAAACCCTAAACCCTAAACCCTAAACCCTACTGCCAACTTCCACAAAGAAGGAGTACTTGGATCCTGCCGGTCTAGCGTGCACTTTAAGAACCCCAAAACCCACTTTTTTGTAGGGTTTAGGGTTTAGGGTTTAGGGTTTAGGGTTTAGGGTTTAGGGTCTTATTATAAATCCTAATATGGGATTTATAGGGACCCTACAAAAAAGTAGGTTTCGGGTTCTTAAGGTAGGGTTAAGGGTTATAGCGGGCGATGGATACCACTGAACACCCTCTCCGGTCATCACCTTCACGGTTCGACTGCTGGGTCTGGCGTGGGGGTCTACTTGGAGGATCATGGGACTTAGTAAATAGGGTTATAAACAAGGCAACTATACTTATAAGTAACTATAACCCACTTAAGGTAGTTATAACCTTACTTACTAAGTCCCATGATCCTCCAAGTACGGGGTGAAGAGGGAGGTGTTTCGGGTAGTATGTTTTTGCTGCCAGTCTTACGTGATGCAGATAGCGGCGCAGCCGGTGCCCGGTGCCTCTCGCATCGCCTCCCTCACCAAGGCGGCCATGTACCCGCTTCCGGCCTGCATCCTACACATGTGCCTTGCACGCGGCCAGTGAATTGCATGAGGTCGAGAACCCAGAGACTCCCAAACCCCTTAATTAAGGAATGTACCTTAAATTATAATAAGATCCCTAATATGATTTAAGGTATATTCCTTAATTAAGGGGTTTTGGAGTCTCTGGGAAGCTGCAGGATTGCTTTCCAGCGCCGGGACGGTTCAAGTCCAGCAGGAGTGCTTTCACCCGCGAGGTGGCAACAAAGGCCTCATTGCTAACCAGTACTTCGAGAACCTCGTCTACTCGATGCTTCTCGACATGATAACCGACATCACGAGTCCGCATTCGTGCGAATGGTCGGCCTAAACCCTAAACCCGAAAGCCCAAGCCCCAAACCCCAAACCCCAAACCCTAAGCTAAACCCGAAACGCTGACACTTATAAAGTGGGAACTGGAAGGCGTCGTAGCTTCAAAGCAATGCCTCGTGGACCCCAGCGCGTCCGGCCGACCAAGTCGCAGCCATCCCGGAAACACAGTAATATAGGGGCCTTTAAAATTAGAATAGGCTTTTATACCATAGATATTTAAGAAGGAACCCCTAAAATAGCATTGGTAATTATTTAGGCCGCTATCTTGCATTGTTCCGTCGTTAGGCCACTTTCATGTCGGGTCACGCTGGGAGACATGCTCGCTGGAGGCGATTACATCCGACATGTAGTCGTTGCCCAAACCCCAAACCCTAAACCCTAAAACCTAAAGCTGGACTCGCCGCGGACCGTTGGCTACATTCTGGTCCAGCTGGATCTGATCGATACTGCCGGATCCATCCGCCTTGGCAATTTCGCCCTTGATGTCCCCTGAATAGTTACTGTAGCATGTAGCGCCAATCCGTAAGATAAGGGCCCCTGTGTGGTAGGCTTGAATCCGGAACCCGTTGGATCCGAGAATTCTAAACCCTCAATCTCAACTCCCAAACCTCGAGTCCTCGCCCTACATGGGTAGTTCTCTAAATTAGGCCTTTTTAAGTCCCCAATATAGTAC